GGTCGATTTTTGGGTCAGTTTTTGGGTCATTTGGGGTCAGTTTTGGGTCACTTTACGCCCATTTTGGGTCATTTGGGGTCAGTTCTGGGTCGTTTTGAGTCACATTTGGGTCAGTTTGGGCCAGTTTTGGTCCATTTTGGGTTATTTCGGGGTCAGTTTCGGGGTCAATTTGGGTCCATTTTGGGGCATTTTGGGGACAATTTTGGGTCAGTTTCAGGGACGATTTTGGGTCATTTTGGGTCGGGTTTGGGTCATTTTGGGTCACTTTTAGTCACTTTTGGGTCCGTTTGAGGCAGTTTCGGGGGCAGTTTTGGTCCATTTTCGGGTCTGTTTTGGGTCATTTGGGGTCATTTTGGTCCATTTCGGGTCATTTTGGGTAAGATTTGGTCATTTTGGATCAGTTTTGGGTCATTTCGGGTCCCTCCCGGCTCATTTTTGCTCAGTTTCGGGCCAATTTCGGTTCCCTCCCGGGTCGTTTTTTAGGGGCGGGGATCGGGTCAGTTCCGGGTTCCTCCCGGGTCGGTTTGGGCTCATTTTTAGGGTCATTTTGGGCTCATTTTGGGTCAGTTTTGGTCTCACCCGGCGGCGGCAGCAGCGGCTCCTCCTCCGCCATGTTCGCGCTCATCACGTGACCCCGCGATCACATGACACCCTCCCCCCGTCCAATAGGAACCAAGCGGGGCGTGAGCAACCAATAGGATGAGAGGGGACGGCGGTGGGCGTGGCTTCGCGACGCACAAAGCGACGCAGGGGGCGTGGCTTGTGCGCGGCCAACCCATATAAGGAAAGACATGGGGGCGTGGTTTCGGCGTGGTGGGCGTGGCCTCGGGGCTCCGCTCTCCCCTCAGGCGCCGCCGCCATTTTGTTCCCCCCCCCCCTCTCCCCTCAGGAGCCGCCGCCATTTTGTGCCCCCCCCTTTCTCATTTCTCCCGTCATGGCGCTGGTTTCGGCCGATTCCCGCATCGCGGAGCTGCTCGGGGAGCTGCACCAGCTCATCAAACAGACGCAGGTAGCGGGTTTTGGGAGGTTTTGGGGGGTTTTGGGGGGTTTTGGTTTTTTTTTTAGGGAGTTTGGGGTTTCCCCCCTCACGACTCTCCGGCCCCCCCCTCACGGATCCCCCCCTTTTTCCCCTCACAACTCCCGAAATTTCACCTCAGGATCCCCCATTTTCCCCCTCATGAACCATCTTTTCCCCTCAAACCCCTCCATTTCCCCTGACAGACCCCTCATTTTTTCCCTCAAACCCCTCCATTTCCCCTCACAGACCCCCCCATTTTCCCCTTCATGAGTCCCATTTTCCTCCTCAAAACCCTCCATTTCTCCTCACAGACCCCAATTTCCCCTCAAGATCCCCCATTTCCCATCAAAACCTTCCATTTCCCCTCACAGACCCCTCATTTCCCTCTCATGAACCCCTTTTTTCCCCTCAAAATTCGCCATTTCCCCTCACAGACCCCCCCATTTTCCCCCCAAACCCCTCCATTTCCCATCATAAACCCCATTTTCCCCTCATGAACCCGCTTTTTCTCCTCAAAACCCTCCATTTCCCCTCACAGACCCCTCATTTCCCCCTCACGAACCCCTTTTTTCCCCTCAAAATTCGCCATTTCCCCTCAGACCTCCCCAATTTCCCCTCAAGATACCCCATTTCCCCTCAAAACCTTCCATTACCCATCATAAACCCCATTTTCCCCTCATGAACCCCCTTTTTCCCCTCATGATTCCCCATTTCCCCTCACAGACCCCAATTTCCCCTCAGGAACCCCCTTTTTTCCCCCCATAAATCCCTTTTTCCCCCCAAACCCCCCTTTCTCCCCCAAATCCCCCTTTTCCCTCCAAATCCCCCCTTTTCCCCCCCATTTCCCTCCTTTTTCCCCCCAAAACCCCCTTTTTCCTCCCAAATCCCCCTTTTCCCCCCAAATCCCCCCTTTTCCTCCCCAAATCCCCCTTTTTCCCCCCAAATCCCCCTTTTTTCCACCTGGGATCCTCTTTCCCCCCAAATCCCCCTTTTCCTCCCCAAAATTTCCCTTTTTCCTCTCAAATCCCCCCTTTCTCCCCCAAATCTTCTCTTTTTCCCCCAAATCCCCCTTTTTTCCCCCCAAATCCCCCCTTTTTCCCCCCAAATCCCCCCTTTTTTTCCCCAAATCCCCCCTTTTTCTCCCCCAAACCCCCTTTTTCCCCCCAAACCCCCCTTTAATCCCAATTTTCCCCCCTTTAATCCCAATTTCCCCCCCTTTAATCCCAATTTCCCCCCCGTCCCAGGAGGAGCGATCCCGCAGCGAGCACAACCTGGTCAACATCCAGAAGACCCACGAGCGGATGCAGACGGAGAACAAAAGTAAAAACTGGGATTTTGGGGGGAGTTGGGGGCATTTGGATGGAAAAAGGGGGGGATTTGGAGGATAAAGAGGGATTTTCCGGGAAAAGGGGGGGATTTGGGGGGAGAAAGGGGAGATTTGTGGGGAGAAAGGGGGATTTGGGGGGAGAAAAAGGGGGGATTTGGGGAGAAAAAGGGGGATTTGGGGGAAAAAGGGGATTTGGGGAGAAAAAGGGGGATTTGAGGGGAAAAGGGTTTTTTTTGGGGGGGAAAAAGGGGGAATTTGGGGAATAAAGGGGAGATTTGGAGGATAAAGGGCGATTTGGAGGGAAAAGGGGGGTTTTGGGGGAATAAAGGGGGGATTTGGGGGGAAAAGGGAGGTTTGGAGGATAAAGGTGGATTTTGGGGGGAAAAGGGGGATTTGGAGGATAAACGGGGGTTTGGGGGGAAAAGGGGAATTTTGGAGAGAAAAAGTGGGAATTTGGGGAGAAAAAGGGGGATTTAGAGGGAAAAAAGGGGGATTTGGAGAATAAATGGGGATTTGGGGGGGAGAAAAGGGGATTTGGGGGATAAAGGGGGGATTTGGAGGAAAAAAGGGGAGATTTGGGGGGAAAAAGGGATTTGAGGAAAAACAGGGATTTGGGGGGAAAAAGGGGAGATTTGGGGGGAAAAA